TTCCTGGGAGCACGGCCTGACTCCTGGGAGCACGGCCTGGTTCCTGGGAGCACAAGGTGGGTGTCGGGAGCACGGCCTGGTTCCTGGGAGCACGGCCTGGTTCCTGGGAGCACAGGCAGATTCCTGGGAGCATAGCCTGATTCCTGGGAGCACAGGCAGATTCCTGGGAGCACAGGCGGATTCCTGGGAGCACAGTCTGATTCCCGGGATCCAGGGGGTGTCAGTGCTCTGACATTGGGCTCACTGGTACCAGAACAAGTTGGGTCCTGGGAGCACAGGTAGATTCCTGGGAGCATGGCCTGATTCCCGGGATCCAGGGGGTGTCAGGGATGAGATGGGTCAATGCCCTGACCTCGGGCTCACTGGTGGCTCTGGTTGGACACCCCTTCCCTCCCAGGCTGTTGTGTGGGCTCTGCAATCACGCCGAGCATCCACAACCGGCGGCAAACACTGCCCTTCCACGGGCAGCTTTCCCGAGGGAATGTTGTCCCCCGGCCCTTTCCCCACATCCAGACCTGCTCCCGGTGCCCCGCAGCCCCCTCTGCTCCCCTGAGCCCCCCCCGGGGTGTAACCAGCGCTCTCCTTGCCCGTCCCAGTACGAGGAGCTGCAGGTCTCGGCCGGGCGCCACGGGGACGACCTGAGGAACACCAAGATCGAGATCTCGGAGATCAACAGGATGGTGCAGAGGCTGCGCAACGAGATCGACAGCGTGAAGAAGCAGGTGGGACAAGGGGGTCCTGCAGGGGGGTCCTATAGGGGGGTCCTGCAGGGGGGTCCTGCAGGGGGGTCCCTCAGGGTGCAGGGTGGGTGGGAGCTGGTGGAGGTTGAGCACGGTGGGAAGAGCCAGATCCCACCAGGAGCTGGACCAGGCTCCCCAGGGCAGCGGTGCCAAGCCTGGCAGAGCTCAAGGGGTGTTTGGACAACGCTCTCAGGCGCGGGGTGTGATTTTTGGGGTGTCCCGTGCGGGGCTAAGAGTTGGACTCGACGGTCCTTGTGATCCCCCCGTGGTTCTCTGGGCTCTCAGTGCCACCCTGGTGCCTGCACCCCCCCCAGCAACACTCGGGAGAGCTGTTTGGGGCATCCCAGGCCAACCAGGTCCCTGCTCTCCTCCCTCCCAGTGTGCCAACCTCCAGGCTGCCATCGCCGAGGCCGAGGAGCGCGGGGAGCTGGCCCTCAAGGACGCCAAGGCCAAGCTGAGCGAGCTGGAGGACGCCCTGCAGAAGGCCAAGCAGGACCTGGCCCGGCAGCTCCGCGAGTACCAGGAGCTCATGAACGTCAAGCTGGCCCTGGACATCGAGATCGCGACCTACAGGAAGCTGCTGGAGGG